CTTGTTTTAACAAGAGACTACAGAAGAGTCATATATAAACAGGAGATTCTTACAGGTAATCCTTGATTTACAATCATTGGTTTAACGATCACAATTTGGATGCTTGGCAAAGAAGCTCCCATTTATAACAGTTGCGGTGTCCAGAGGTTATGTGATCATGATTTACAATCTTCCCAGAAGTAAAATCAATGGGGGAAGCCTGATTCATTTACTGGCTGCAGTGATTCCCTTAAAAGACCATGGGAAAAACCATCAAATCCAGTGTGATCATATGATGCCTCACTTAATGGGTGTTGCTTAATGATAAATTTTCTGGACCCAATTGTGGTCATAAATCAAGGAGTACCTGTATTGCCTTCATCTTTTATGATGGCCATGCACAAAAGACCTATATTTGGATTCGCTACATTCAACTCTTATTAAAATAATTGTTTTAATTTAATTAACCTACAAATTAAAACATATATACAATTCAAAGAAAGCAACATGTAAAAGACCTAAATAAAATTTAATATAATTTCATAAGCAAGTGTATTGCAAAAAAAGCCACACATGGTGAAAAACACACAGCTTGGCTATGCATTGTTTATATTTATAACATATTCATGAATTGTGAGAAGAAATTTTATGAATTAAATACAGCTGCTGAAATCTGACCTCTGTATAGAAAGCTTAGCTTTTGTAATCGTTAACTTGGCTTGATCATAACTTTCAAATGTGCAGATGCCGATTTATATTAAGTAATAGTCATTGTTCCTTCAAGTTCTGTGTGGGGTTCTTTCTTCGCCTATCTAATATTGCAAAATGAATAAAAGTATCTTTAGACTGCCCTTGGATTAATTATTGAAGTGTTTTAACTATTCCCTGCTTAAAAGGTAGCTGTTAAGGCAGTTTTCCTAAAATAGGAAATCATAGGCCAATGATGGTGAACCTTTTAGGGACTGAGTACCCAAAGTGCGCGCCCTTGCACAAACTGCAAGGTGTGGGCGCATGCACAAGCGTCCCCCACATGCGCCCACCCAAATTGCAAGGTGGAGGCACATGCACGCATCCTGCACATGCACACCCATGTCCTATGCATGCCCTGCACAATGTGCTACAGAGACCCAAAGACCAGCTAGTTGGTGGGAGGCATGCGTACGTGCGCAACAAAGACCCAAAACAGAGCTATGGTGATGGAGCGCATGCCCACAGAGAGGGCTCTGTGTGCCACCTCTGGCACACATGTCATAGGTTCGCCACTACTGCCATAGGCATTCCATCACAGGCAACTTCAGTTTCTAAAGAACTCAAAGGATGAGGTTATCACTTTCATGCCACTTTTAGATTACAGGAAACGGACTAGCATGATCCAGTAGAGTCCTTATCTTCACCTATTTAATATTTCTTATTATTAAGGTATTATATGGTATTTCCATTTTATGTTTTTGAAGAATTTTTGTACTATTGATTCAAACATTCAATATTTGAGGGGGCTTCTTTCCAAAGCCCCAAAAAGAAACAATAGTTGGAAACTATTGAGAGAAGCAACCTAGAACTAAGGAGAAGTTTTCTAACGGTGAGAGCAACCAACCAATGGAACAGAAGTGGCCTCCAGAAGTTGTGGGAGCTTCATCACTGGAGGCTTCCAAAAAGAAACTGGACAACCATTTGTCTCGAATGGTATAGAGCAGGGGTGTCAAACTTGATTTCATTGGGGCCGCATCAGGGTTGTGTCTGACTGGCGGGGGGGCGGGGTGGGCATGGCCAGCTCGATGTCAGTCATATTGAGCGCGCCTGTGGTGGCCTGAGTGCTCTGCCAGCAAAAACAGGTTCCCCAGCACCGTTTTCTGCTGCCACCGCCTCCTGCAAGCCTCTACCAGCGGAAATCGAGCTGGGGAAGCACCACGGGCAAGTTCTTCGTTGTTTCCACAGCGGCCCTGTGGGCCAGATCTAAGTACCCTGTGGGCCGAATGCGGCCCCCGGGCCTTGAGTTTGACACCCCTGGTATAGAGTCCTCTGCTCCAACAAGTGGTTGGACTAGAAGACCTCCGAGGTCTCTTCCAACTCTATTATTCTATGTTCCGTACAATAGTATCGATATATCTCCAGGTAAAACATATCACTATATGAAAAATACTATGTCTTCTGCAGCCCCCCCAAAAAAGGAATTGACGGAACTTGAAAATAATAGCGCTAAACATAATTCCTAACTAAAGTAACACTTAAAAGTATTTCAAATATGAAATAAAAACAATCTCACAAAAACTCTTAATGCATCGATATTACTAAAAATTGTTGTACCTGTGTGAATCTTTCTAACTCCTTTCTAATTTTAGTGGTTTCCTCTTGTGCTTGTTTTATAAGTTTATTTTCAGCCACAATGGTATGGTCCAGTATTTCTGGAAGCTCTAAAATATATAAACAAATATTAGATTACAGACAGTCTGAATAATTTAAGCAAAACATACATTATTAAACATTTAAAATGGTAGTAGAATACTTAGATATGAAAGAATTTACAGAGAATATGGTAAACAGCATATAAACACATGTACATTATTTATATATAAAAGAAGCTCACCAAATTGAGGTTTAATAATTTATACTTCCAATTTTTCCTTATAAAATCCAACTACAACGCATCAACATTCTATACATTTTTTTTTACTTCTTCAAAAGTCTTTGTGAATCTAAAGTTGCAGCAACCCAATTCCTTCCCACTGCAGCAGGAACAAAATGGGGATGGCATCGGCTGGTGGATTTCTTGGGTTTTTTTTCTCTTTAAAAAGCCATTATCATTGTATGTCTCATGGCTCCATATTCTTTCCCCCTCCTGATCTCTAGAGTCAACAATCGACAGTTTGAAAGTGGAATCAGATTGAACGCGCCATGGACTCGTTGAGATCTTCCAATACATAAAACATATCTCTCACCAGGCTTAAATCAAGCAAACCAATTCAGAATAACATACCACTATCTTACAATCTAGGTCAGGGGTGTCAAACTCGCGGCCCGTGGGCCGAATGCATCACGCGTTGGCCATGCCCAACCCCTGGTTTAGCAAAGGGGAAAAAGCTGTGCTATGTCACGTGACGGTGTGTCGTTGCGAGTTTAACACACACACACACACGGATCTAGATGAAGAAAGGCGTGTTAAGATGGCGACTTTTTAATAACCACAACCAAAGGCATCACACAAATCCAACAAACCCAGCTCCGGGAATACAGTTGCCCTGAAAAATATGGAGTCACCTGACTAGTATCAGGCCAGGCCAGGCCAGGCCAGAATTAAGCCAAAGCTCTTTAAGTGGGGCTGAGAGATCACAAGACAACTGTGGTGCATCAGAACAAAATATATAGCTTGAACATATAGTTCAATGTCATCACCATTTAACAACCCAATAATACCTTGCAGGGTGGAGTCTGGGCAACTGAATAAAGCTGAGTGTTTACTGGCCAGATGCCCTTCCTGTTGCCAATGCAGAGTTATATTCAGCAGATATAATCTCAATGTGCCCAGAGAGAGAAATATCTGCCTCTACCAAGGATTGAACTCAGTCTCCTAGGCCACTGCACCACTCAGAACATACAGTTCAATTTCCCCTCAGGAAATGTCAAGGCACTGGGACTATTCTCACCACAGCCACACCAGAAGCAGTTAGACGGTTAGCTTCCTTGGGTATTGAATTAGAACATCTATCCCACTTCAGTTCTATGGCTCTGTATTTGCTGATGCTTTATTTTGCCATACACTAAATACCATATTTTACGGAGTATAAGATGCACCTTAGTTTGGTGGGGGGAGGAAAATAAGAAAAAAAAATCTGCCTCTGCCTATCAGCATCCATGGTATTCATCTGGCTAGCATCCTGTCAGTGTGTGAGAGAGTTGAGGCTATTTGGAAACAAACAGTATTTGCTGTGTGAGCAAAAGGAAGGAGACAGCAAGGTCCCTGGGCCTGGCTTCTTCTGTACTGTGCTGATATCCGAAACTAAAACTGAAATTTCTCTCCTCTGCTGAACTACCACGTTGGAAAACCTGCTTTTGGTATTGTATATTTACTTAATGTGTTATATTATATATAAAGAGAAGTTATTGAATCCTGCTGAATCAGTTACTTGTGTGTGTTTTCTGAATGTGATTGCTGCTGCAAACTCTGACATGGCCTTGCAGCATATAGCAAACAGCCAGGTCAGCTTCAGCACATTCAGCCTGAGCAGCTGATTGGCGAGTGGATCGGCCTCCCAGAATACCGCCAATCAGCCGTTCCAGACTGCAGGGATTGCCACAGACCATCGCTGCCTCCATGCCTAGCGTTTTTGGCTACATTCGGTGTATAAGATGCACCCAAATTTTCACCCACTTTTAGGGAGGGAGTGCGTCTTATACTGCGAAAAATACGGTAAATAAATCATTATGGTCAGTTTCTCAAGTTTGATGTACAGACAAATTAGGGACAAAAAATCTGTACCTTCAGAAGGTTCAGCAGTAGGATCCTGCTTGAATTCAGGTTCAGGCACAGATGCTAATCCATCCGCTTTTTCTCCTCCATTAGAAATGGTCCCCGACTCAATTGTCCCAATGTCACTTTGAATCTCCGAATCACATCTTGACGTCCAATTGTCTTTTTGATTCCGTATCTTGTTTAGCAACTTTTTTAGAGCTAGTTTGGCCGGAGGCTGGAATGTCTTCTCCAGTTCACTACCTAAAAAAAAAAAGAAAAAAGAAAAAAAAAGAAAATGAACTGCAATAATAATTTGAAAGCACCAATGAGAAGCAGCAGCAGCTTTCTAGCTGTAGTTATTGCATAAATGAATATTATATCAAGTTGCTTCCATGATACTATGCTTTTAAAAAGCATCCTATTTCCAGAAAACAGCCTTAACAGCTGCATTGTAAGCAGGGAATAATTACTAAGGATTTTATCCTGCAGTCCTTAAAATACTGCAATCCACAAAAACTACTCACAAAGAGATGAATGCAAACCACAGCCACAGAACAGGCATTTTAAGTAAAACTTGGAGAATCTATCAGTTCAGAGGGATCTACCCCAAATACACAGCTTAGGTTCATGGCGTATTGGCAGAATGCACACTATGAAGATTTGACAACAATCCGTTTCTGAGCAGGATAAAACAGAAGGTCAACTGAGCAGAAAGCATCGAGGCCAGCAAGACCTATGCAGTCAGAGATAGTTTCCTGCAACATGGGAGCAGAATCACCTTGGCTTTCATCTGTTGTGGCCCGCCAGCAGCCAGCAGAACTGGCAGCAGATTCGGATAGTGAAGAGGCTGGGGAGGAACATGGGCCAGTCCTGGAGTCTGGGGAAGGCTCTGATGGGGGCTCTGTGTCGGAGGCAGAGAGGGAGCCAGAGCCATATGCCAGCTATCAGCTGCCATTAGAGTCAGACATCAGTGAGGCAGATGAACAGCTGGAGCCAATGTGCGCATGCACAGAGTTGCCAGGTGAAGGGAACAGCTAAAGATCAGGGGTTGACTTTGGAGTAAGGCCACAGGTGGACAGTGATTTTCCCGCTTACCAGAGGGAGCCCCCTTGTGGAGTCCTGGAAAGCCATTATCATGGCAACTCGACTGCGCTGTACAGTAGAAACATTTTAAGGCACAACAGGCTGTATCTTTACAGAACACACACCCTGAGGGGTGTCTTACCCCCCACGGTATTTTTTTCCCCAGAGAGTAAGTCATCTGTGTACCAAGTTTGGTTGAAATTGCTCGAGATGTTCCAGAGTTATGCTGGAACATATACACACACACACACACACACAGCAAGTTTCTGGAAAAAGTATGAAGAATATTCATACACTGTAAATTTCTCCAGCTGCTGTTTTATACTGTTTTAGAAAAGTCTCACTGACAAACGGAGCTGTTGCATGCTGCTGTTTTAGTGAACAGAGACTTAGAGACTTTAGAATTCTTCATACCGCTTGGCTCATTGTTTTCTATCTCATTTGCCAACTTTGGAGTCAATTCACACACAGGTTCTGGTTCCTGGGAAAGTTCTAGTTCATCATCCTGAGATGCCTCAGAGAGAGCTGGCAAAGGCTGTGGATCAAGGTGCAAAATAAGATCTCCCTTCATTCCTGCATAAAGAAAAAGCAAAATGAAAGCAACAGTGCATTTCCCCCCCCCCCAAAAAAATTATAATGCTCTAGTTCAAGGGTCAGCAACCTATGGCTCTGGAGCCGCATATGGCTCTTTCATCCCTCTGCTGTGGCTCAAAATATACGTCCCAACCACCAAAGTGTGATACCTGCTGGCACGTNACTTCAGTTCTATGGCTCTGTATTTGCTGATGCTTTATTTTGCCATACACTAAATACCATATTTTACGGAGTATAAGATGCACCTTAGTTTGGTGGGGGGAGGAAAATAAGAAAAAAAAAATCTGCCTCTGCCTATCAGCATCCATGGTATTCATCTGGCTAGCATCCTGTCAGTGTGTGAGAGAGTTGAGGCTATTTGGAAACAAACAGTATTTGCTGTGTGAGCAAAAGGAAGGAGACAGCAAGGTCCCTGGGCCTGGCTTCTTCTGTACTGTGCTGATATCCGAAACTAAAACTGAAATTTCTCTCCTCTGCTGAACTACCACGTTGGAAAACCTGCTTTTGGTATTGTATATTTACTTAATGTGTTATATTATATATAAAGAGAAGTTATTGAATCCTGCTGAATCAGTTACTTGTGTGTGTTTTCTGAATGTGATTGCTGCTGCAAACTCTGACATGGCCTTGCAGCATATAGCAAACAGCCAGGTCAGCTTCAGCACATTCAGCCTGAGCAGCTGATTGGCGAGTGGATCGGCCTCCCAGAATACCGCCAATCAGCCGTTCCAGACTGCAGGGATTGCCACAGACCATCGCTGCCTCCATGCCTAGCGTTTTTGGCTACATTCGGTGTATAAGATGCACCCAAATTTTCACCCACTTTTAGGGAGGGAGTGCGTCTTATACTGCGAAAAATACGGTAAATAAATCATTATGGTCAGTTTCTCAAGTTTGATGTACAGACAAATTAGGGACAAAAAATCTGTACCTTCAGAAGGTTCAGCAGTAGGATCCTGCTTGAATTCAGGTTCAGGCACAGATGCTAATCCATCCGCTTTTTCTCCTCCATTAGAAATGGTCCCCGACTCAATTGTCCCAATGTCACTTTGAATCTCCGAATCACATCTTGACGTCCAATTGTCTTTTTGATTCCGTATCTTGTTTAGCAACTTTTTTAGAGCTAGTTTGGCCGGAGGCTGGAATGTCTTCTCCAGTTCACTACCTAAAAAAAAAAAGAAAAAAGAAAAAAAAAGAAAATGAACTGCAATAATAATTTGAAAGCACCAATGAGAAGCAGCAGCAGCTTTCTAGCTGTAGTTATTGCATAAATGAATATTATATCAAGTTGCTTCCATGATACTATGCTTTTAAAAAGCATCCTATTTCCAGAAAACAGCCTTAACAGCTGCATTGTAAGCAGGGAATAATTACTAAGGATTTTATCCTGCAGTCCTTAAAATACTGCAATCCACAAAAACTACTCACAAAGAGATGAATGCAAACCACAGCCACAGAACAGGCATTTTAAGTAAAACTTGGAGAATCTATCAGTTCAGAGGGATCTACCCCAAATACACAGCTTAGGTTCATGGCGTATTGGCAGAATGCACACTATGAAGATTTGACAACAATCCGTTTCTGAGCAGGATAAAACAGAAGGTCAACTGAGCAGAAAGCATCGAGGCCAGCAAGACCTATGCAGTCAGAGATAGTTTCCTGCAACATGGGAGCAGAATCACCTTGGCTTTCATCTGTTGTGGCCCGCCAGCAGCCAGCAGAACTGGCAGCAGATTCGGATAGTGAAGAGGCTGGGGAGGAACATGGGCCAGTCCTGGAGTCTGGGGAAGGCTCTGATGGGGGCTCTGTGTCGGAGGCAGAGAGGGAGCCAGAGCCATATGCCAGCTATCAGCTGCCATTAGAGTCAGACATCAGTGAGGCAGATGAACAGCTGGAGCCAATGTGCGCATGCACAGAGTTGCCAGGTGAAGGGAACAGCTAAAGATCAGGGGTTGACTTTGGAGTAAGGCCACAGGTGGACAGTGATTTTCCCGCTTACCAGAGGGAGCCCCCTTGTGGAGTCCTGGAAAGCCATTATCATGGCAACTCGACTGCGCTGTACAGTAGAAACATTTTAAGGCACAACAGGCTGTATCTTTACAGAACACACACCCTGAGGGGTGTCTTACCCCCCACGGTATTTTTTTCCCCAGAGAGTAAGTCATCTGTGTACCAAGTTTGGTTGAAATTGCTCGAGATGTTCCAGAGTTATGCTGGAACATATACACACACACACACACACACAGCAAGTTTCTGGAAAAAGTATGAAGAATATTCATACACTGTAAATTTCTCCAGCTGCTGTTTTATACTGTTTTAGAAAAGTCTCACTGACAAACGGAGCTGTTGCATGCTGCTGTTTTAGTGAACAGAGACTTAGAGACTTTAGAATTCTTCATACCGCTTGGCTCATTGTTTTCTATCTCATTTGCCAACTTTGGAGTCAATTCACACACAGGTTCTGGTTCCTGGGAAAGTTCTAGTTCATCATCCTGAGATGCCTCAGAGAGAGCTGGCAAAGGCTGTGGATCGAGGTGCAAAATAAGATCTCCCTTCATTCCTGCATAAAGAAAAAGCAAAATGAAAGCAACAGTGCATTTCCCCCCCCCCAAAAAAAATTATAATGCTCTAGTTCAAGGGTCAGCAACCTATGGCTCTGGAGCCGCATATGGCTCTTTCATCCCTCTGCTGTGGCTCAAAATATACGTCCCAACCACCAAAGTGTGATACCTGCTGGCACGTGGTTTATTGAGCTTTTCAATCCCCGGCAGGCCAACCATGGTTAAATCCAAGAGAAGAAAAGTTTCAGAAGAAAGCAGAATACCATTTCACACTGGGGAAGTCCAGTCCCTGCTTCCCATAAATTATCTGTGTACTCCAGAATGAGCATTACATTTCTGCACTGCAGGGTTTATGTCCTTCTCAGTATTTTTACATAACAGTATCACATAATCGCCATTGTTGTTCTCTGCCTTCTCTGGGGAGGGTTTTTTTATTCATTCCCTACCCACCCCCTTGCAAAGAGGAGAAATTGGAGAAAAAGGGATTAGAAGAGAGTATGCTACATTGAAAGCAATGTGATTATGCTGGTAGCCCAGGGCTAGGAGCCAGAGTTTGGTACACAAACAGCTTACCATACTCTTTTACAATCCCTTCCTCTCTAATCTCTTCACTCTGCAAGGGTAGGGGAAGGGTCTGAGGAACCCTGCTCAGTTTAATACTCCAGGGAATCTTGTGTCCATGGCACTTTCTCAGATTATTTGGCTGCTGCTCTTGATTAATGAATTGCCACGGACAATTCCCAAATAAATGAGTTTCTCCATGAATAAGAAGGAACGAAGAAGCACCTGGTTTTCCTAAACTCATTCTTTACTTCTAATGTTTAAGCTTTGGAAAAGAACTCCATTTGGGAATCTCATCTGTTTGCTTTTAAGTAGGTGGGTGCTTCACATTTTTAACAGGAATGTATTTAGGGCATAGTTTGACAGTGTTAGTCACATGCTGATTCTTAACAGCAGATAATTAAAATTACCATATGGCTGAAGCTCTCGTTATAAATTGCCTCACCACGAGATAATTTTATCTTGGAACAGTTAGCCGCGATCAGAAAAAAAGGTAGTGGGTGTTGTTGTTTTTTACTCTATAACCTTATATAGACTATACAATCTATATTTTAATCTGAATTAGTGTTACAAATCTATGGTTCTGAATTATGCTTACTCATATTTCCAGTGTACATGTCTTCGAAGGCACACTCCAGCTCCCTCTGCCATTCTTCTTTGATTTCCACACGTCTATAGCTGGGTTCAAACAGCTGCGGGGGCATCTGGGCGACAAACCGCCTTCTGTGGGCCAAGTCAACATTCTGCATCTGTTCAAGCTCTCTCATTAACTTTTCCTTGTCCTTTTAAAGCAGAGATATTTTGTGAAAAAGTCATCCCTACAAACATTCTGTTTATTGACATCACGTCACTGTCAGCTTTGATGCAAGTTGTTTTGCAAAGAAAAGTCGCAGGAAGTAATCAATGAACAGAAGAGGGCATGTTTATTAATGAGAATGCACTATCAGCTGTATAAATCATAGGGTACGTTTTAATGCATGTATAGATGTTGGCGTAATGTATGCAGAAATGTAAGTTACCTCTGAAGCAAACGATTTTGCAGAACTTACTGCTTCAAATACCAACGTGTGACAGACCCTATTTCAAGATGATTTATGCCCCAAAAGCAGACTTTTTATTAGTCATGCATCATTATGAAATGATAGCTTCAGTTCTGATGATTTTCTTGTATGCTGAATACATATATTGTTAATTGCTACTCAAAATGAAACATTAATGTTTTCCTTTTTCTGCAACATTAGGTACATTAAAATTACATTAGGCATTGTGGGAAGGTAAATCCATATACACTCTCCCTTATCAGCTCAATTTTCTAGTGTTTCTCCTGAATTAGGAACATATCACAAATAAATTAACCCCTAATGGAGAAAATGAGGAAACGTATAAACTTCCATTTGAACCAATTTATGAAAGAGAAAGCAGAGCTTTTATATACCCCAGAAAAGTATTTCTATTTAAATTTACATGTAAGTCAGGCAACTACCAAATTTAGATACAAATTGGAAGTCATTCACACGCTTATTTGACCTACTACAGTTTTTGTTATATAATAGAGAGTACTGTAATTAGCTGGTGCAAACTAGTAGGGGGTGCTAGGAGAAGCAGAGACATAATTTGGGTGCTAGGAATCTAGGTGTTGGGGTTTAGCAGAACAGATTAGCAGTTACGTACTAGGAAAACAGGATAGGATAGGACAGGACAGGATTAGGATAGGAAATGGAATAGAATAGAACAGAAAATACAACAGAACAGAATTCTTTATTGGCCAAGAGTGACTGGATACACAAGAATTTGTTTCTGGTGCATAAGCTCTCAGTGTACATAAAAGCAACAAGTGATAAATCACCATCGTAATCATAAATACAATCATCATAAATCGTAAGATATACTACTCAGTCGTAAGGTAAGATCCCAAAGTAAGATAAACGGTTTATTATTATTATTATTGTTACAGCTAGTCCTTGACTAGGCCAACTTACGATGGCAGTGGCAGCTGTTTTTAGCCGCTGGCAAATCCTGCCTGTTTGCAGCATTCCGCAGTCGGATGATCGCTGGCAACCTCCGACTAGCTTCCCCATTGACTTTGCCTGCAGGAAGCCGGCATTAAAGTTCATAAATTGTGATTGTGGGATTGCAGGACACTGGGACCACTGTAATAGCAAACTGGTCACACGGTACCGTGTTTCCCCCCAAATAAGACAGGTTCTAATTTTCTTTTGACCCCCGAAATAAGCGCTTGGCCTTATTTCTGGGGAGGTCTTATTATTTTTGAGGTGCAGGAGGCCCCTTAACCTCGGCTCGTGGATCAGCTGATCTAGAGAGGGCCGGATGTTCTGTCTCTGTTTCCGGCACACTCTCGCCAGCCTTAGCATCACTGGGCCTGCCGCTCTTTTTTGCAGCCACCACTAAGAGAAGGGGCGCAGTAGCTAGGGTTTGCGGTAGCAGCCTCTGTGAGGCCATTCCACATGGATGGCAGGTCCATGTGGGGCACATGGGGCATGTCTTCCCTCTTTCCCCTCCCAGGAAATGGCAGGGACAGGCTGCACATGCCTTTAAATATTGTAGGGGAGGGCTTATTTTAGCGCATGCGCTCAAAAGCCCGATTGGACGTATTATCCGGAGAGGTCTTATTTTCGGGGAAGTAAGTCCCCTTGTTCAACGCCACTGTCACTTCAAAGAGCTGAGTGTGAGAACTACCTGCGTTTGATTTACACCCGGCTCAATGTTTTGGCTGGGGGAGTGGGACACTGAAAGTGAAAACCCCAGGAGCTCCCTGTGTGTGAAACAACGTGACAAGGGGATCAAGGACAAAAAGGAGAGGAGGAAATGAAAGGAGGGAGGAGGCAGCAAAGCAGCAGGCGCAGAAGGAATTCAGCATGGAAGGTGGCCCATGGGACTTTTGCAAGGAAACTAACGTTACTGAAATGTGTGAGTATGTTTGTGCTTTTCCAAAAAAAATATTGTAAATTAAAAAAAAAAAAAAAGCCTTCGTGGCTATTTTGATGAGAGAGATAGAAAGCCTGATTTCCCCCCTCAGGACCAAGATTCATTCTCACTGAGTTCAGTAGCTTCTGATCAGAAAAGGTTTCTTCCATTTATACACTTGTATAAATATTTCTTCTCGTCCCTAGTTATTAGTTTGCTATATAAAAGAGGGCTGTGAAAATATCTACAGATCCGTCACATCCTGGACATAAATTGTTTCAACTTCTACCATCAAAACTACACTATAGAGCAGTGGTCTCCAACCTTGGCAACTTTAAGACTTGTGGACTTCAACTCCCAGAGTTCCTCAGCCAGCTGGCTGAGGAACTCTGGGAGTTGAAGTCCACAGGTCTTAAAGTTGCCAAGGTTGGAGA